AGGTGACTAGGAAAACCCTAATCTATTTCTCAAAAATAAGAATTATCCTAAACAAACTAGGATAATTCTAATCCTATCTCAAGATAAGAATTATCCTAGAATTGACCCAGATAAGCTCTATCTCATCTATGTATAGTCATATTGTAACTCACTCTTTGTAATTATAAATAGGGTTGATTCGACCCTAAGAAGGCAGGTTGGTTAAATTATTCTTTTATTCTGTCACTCTCTCTTTTATTTCTATTATTGTTTTTTGCTATTTTCCTTTTGCTTTAACTTGGTATTAGAGCCATGTCAACAGAGACAGGCACACATGGTAGCAGCCCAGCAGCCTCCAACAGTGGCTCAACGTCAAGTAGTGCGCTCCCTTCAATCCAGAATGTTACTCATTATCTTCCTATTAAACTTGGAAGTGACAATTACCTGTTGTGGCGTGCCCAGTTCCTTCCCATCCTTCGACACCATCACCTCTTGGAACTGGTAGAAGGGAAGAAGCCACTGCTTAAAGTCATACCCAATCCAGATGATACGGGGATGATTGTGAACCCCAAATTCAAAAAATGGACAGACAACGATCAACTTGTGTTGAGTTGGCTGATCTCCTCTCTTACTGAAGGTGTTATGGTGGAAGTGGTAGGTCTGTCGACATCATCAGAGGTATGGACTTCACTTGCTCACAGTTATTCCACCCACTCCTGTTCCAGGGTACTGCAGTTGCAGAGACAACTGCAAAATCTTAAATAGGGTCTCTATCTATTTCTGCATACATACAACAAGCTAAATCCATTGTTGATAGTCTTTCTACAGTATCTAAACTAGTTCTCAAATCAGAACTGGTACTCTACATTTTGTTTGGATTAGGGAGTGAATATGAGTCAGTCAGTAGTTACAACACTTACAAATTGACCAGATGCAGCAGATCTTGGTATTGCTGACATTATGGGAGCACTTCTGAACCATGAAAGCTGGCTTGAAGGCCTAGCTCTTACGTCAGACCCTCGAAGTGCAAATCTTGCAGGTGTTCCTCCAAAGAAAACTAATTTTTAGAAGCCCCCACAACAATTCTCATCAAATTACAATAATAATAAAGGTAAGGGGCATGGACGTGGTTCTCCACAATATAATCATCAGTCTTTTCAAAATCAATCACAGCAATCTTCTGGAGGATGTGCAGGTAAAAATAATGTTACTTGTCAGATCTGTAATAAATATGGACACAGTGCCCTGCAGTGTAGAAAAGCAAAATATGCCTTTAGTTTTTTGATAATTCTTGCAATGATCCTTTTGCCTTTCATGGAGGGGTAAATATCCCTCAGAATCAGTATGAGAATAATTTCGATCCCAACTGGTATCCGGACTCTGGAGCTACTCATCACATGACTCCAGATCTAGATAATATGCAAAATTGCATTGAGTATACTGGACCAGATCAAGTGAAGGTCGGCAATGGTCAAGGTTTGAATATTCGTCATATGGGATCTTCTTCTATGATTTTAAATCAACATGCTTTCTCTTTGAAGCATATTTGTCATGTTCCTTCTATCTGCAAAAATTTATTATTTGTCAATCTATTTACAAAAGATAATGACTTGTTTTTTGAGTTTCACCGTGACTATTGCTATGTGAAGGATTATATGTGGAGAATCCTACTTCGAGGGGCCAGTAGAGATGGATTACACAGCTTTCTTGCATCAGCTACAATTACTCCTAAAGCTCTTATTGGAGAACGTACATCACTTCGTGGTTGGCATCTGCCTCTTGGACATGTGGCTATGCGTAATGTACGACAAGTCATTTTAAAGCTTGGTCTTCCATTTCTTCATTCTAGTGTTAATGAGTCTGTTTGTGAGTCATGTCAAATGGGCAAGGGTCATAGAATGCCCTTGAAGTCTTCGAGTTCTTAGTCTAGGTGTCCTTTAGATTTGATTTTTTTAGATGTATGGGCACCTTCTCCCGTTAAGTCGAATAATGGATTTTCCTATTATGTTATTTTTGTGGACGATTTTTCAAATTTTCATGGGTGTATCCTATGGCTCGAAAATCAGATGTCTATGACTTATTTGTTAAATTTAAAAGGCATGTAGAAGTTCTGTTTAATGCCAAAATAAAAGTTTTTCAGTCAGATTGGGGTGGAGAGTATCGCTCTCTCCTAGTACTTAGATTCACAAGGAATCACACATCGATTGGCGTGCCCTTGTATATACGAATAGAACAGATCGGTTGAACGAAAGCACAGACATGTGGTTGAATCCGCCTAATCTCTGCTGGCCTTCTCCAAACTCCCCTTCTCCTTCTGGGCTGATGTGGTAAAAACAACAATCTTTCTGATTAATCGACTTCCCATAGAGGTACTGAGTGGTATGTCACCTCATGAAAAACTCTTTCAGACTGCTCCTGATTATTCTTTACTACAGTGTTTTGGGTGTGCATGCTATCCCTTTCTGTGGCCTTACAACAAAAATAAGCTTTAGTTTTGGTCTCTTTAGTGCATTTTTATCGGTTACAGTACCTCCCACAAAGGGTATCGGTGTCTCCACGTTCCTTCTGGACGTATTTTCATAGCTCGCCATGTTGTATTTGATGAGACTCTCTTTCCATGAATTGATGAAGTGTTGCCATACACTCCTCCTATTGCTACAGGAACTTTCATTTCAGCACCTGCACCTTTACAACCTGCGCCACCAATAGTACCTCCGTCGTCACCAACTCCACCTACCCCTGCATCCAGCTCCAGTTCGGCGACTACTTCAGTTTCGGGACCATTGGAGCAATCCTCTCTTGCTCGGCCACAAAATTTTTGAAGCATTCAAGACTTACTCGACTCTACAACACCAATTTCTCAACCGGTACGCACCCACTCTATGTGTACTCATTCCATGGATGGGACCCTTCCTCGGTCTCAACTTGCGACAAGGTATCCAATCCCTTCTACCCTTCTCAGTCTCCTCCAAGAACAAGAGCCAAAAATTTTAATCAAGCTACAAAGTCACCTAACTAGCAAGAAGCTATGCAAAAAGAATATCATGCCCTCATTAAAAATGATACGTGGCACTTAGTTCTGTATGATCCCTCCATGAACATTGTTGGAACCAAGTGGATCTACAAAATAAAGAAAACGGCTGATGGAACCCTTGATCACTACAAAGCCCGGCTAGTCGCCTGGGGCTTTAACCAGATACCTGGTCTTGATTACTTTGATACTTTTAGTCCGGTTGTCAAACTAGCAACCGTACGGACAATCTTCTCCCTTGCCCTTGCACAGGGATGGCCAACTCACCAATTAGATATTGACAATGCCTTCCTTCATGGCATTCTGGATGAAAAAAATTTTGTGCATCAACCAAAAGGATTCATGGATCCTAGATATCCGAATCATGTTTGCAAGTTGAAGAAGGCTCTCTATGGCCTATAACAAGCACTGCGAGCTTGGTATTCACATTTGAGTTTTGTTCTCAAACAGATGGGTTTTCGCAACTCCACTACTGATCCATCATTGTTTATCCTCTCCTCCAACAAATTGACCCTCCTCCTATTGGTGTATGTTGGTGACATTATTTTGACCGGCAATTCTGCTTCCACCATCAGTAATTTCCTCACATCACTCTCTTCAGTTTTTTCCCTCAAAGACTTGGGTTCCCTTCACTATTTTCTAGGCATCGAGGTAAGTCGCAATTCTAGCAGTTTGATTCTTTTACAACAGCTACATTCTGGATCTACTGCATCGGACCAACCTGGAAGGGGCCAAACCTGCAAGCTCGCCCATGTCTACATCTGTTCGCCTCTCAAAATCTTCAGGTGAACCCCTACCTAACCCCACGGAGTATCAGAGCATTGTTGGAGCTCTACATTATGTCACCATCACTTGCCCAGATATCTCCTTCGTAGTCAACAAAGTTTGCCAGTTCCTTCAATCTCCTACTGATGAGCATTGGACAACTGTCAAGAGAATACTTCGCAATCTCAAGGGTACTCTCACTCATAATCTGTATTTTTAGGGATCTTCGTCATGGCAATTAACCGCTTACACAGACACCGATTGGGCCAGTTGTCCAGATGATCGACGATCTACAGGGGGTTTTGCAATTTATCTTGGCTCCAATTTGGTCTCCTGGAGCTCCAAAAAGCAGCACACTATTGCTCGCTCTAGCACCGAATCTGAGTTCAGATCTCTCGCCAACATAGGCACGAAATTATTATGGATTCAGTCTCTGCTGTGAGACATTGGCTTTCTACCTTTTCCCCCTATTATCTGGTGTGATAATATGGGTGCTGCCCACTTAGTAGCCAACCCTATTTTTCATGCTCTGACGAAACATGTGGAGGTAGACTTTCATTTCCTGCGTGATCTAGTCACCCAGAAGAAGCTTCAGATCCGGTATATTCCCACAACCGACCAGATAATTGACATCTTCACTAAGGCACTCTCCACAGCTCATTTTGTCTCTCTTCGGGACAAGCTTCTCGTCTCCTCGTTCAGCTTGCGGGGGGATAATAACATAGACGAGCATGGGCTCATGTATGGCCCAGGCACGTTTACATAAATCCAAGCCCATCTTAGCTTAACCCATCTGACATATAAGATCTACTGGGTCTCTTTTAGGTGACTAGGATAACCCTAATCTACTTCTCAAAGATAAGAATTATCCTAAACAAACTAGGATAATTCTAATCCTATCTCAAGATAAGAACTATCCTAGAATTGACCCAGATAAGCTCTATCTCATCTATGTATAGTCCTACTCTAACTCACTCCTCTGTAACTATAAATAGGGTTGATTCCGACCCTAACAAGGCAGGTTGGTTAAATTATTTTTTTTTTATTTTCACTCTCTCTTTTATTTCTATTATTGTTCTTTGCTATTTTCCTTTTGTTTTAACTTTCTAGCACATGTCACCAAGGAGGACGGTACGGTGTGGAAGTGGAATTCATTCAAGGTACGTTCCTTTTCCTTTGCCTGAGCTGATGATATGTAAACGTAAAATACATTGGCCATTTGCCATTAGTGTAGACTTCTAGGGATTCCCTTGTTGACCAAGAAGTGCCGATCGGTCTCCAGGCATATTAGAACACCTTCTTCAAGGTCAAGCTCGAGTAGGGCGTGGTGGAACTTCTTCAGGAAGTCATCGGAATTGAGCATGGATGAATCGGCCGCATCGGGAAGTTGAGAGTAGCCCATGGATCGAGCGGCATTGACGAGAGCCTTCCATTCGATCTTGGGGAATATGTTCCTGAGAAACTCTACACTGAAATCGACTTCTTTCTCCACAAATTTCTCGACCTCAAGTCGCAGAGGGAAACCGTTCATGACACCTTTGATGTTGCAAGAAAACATGTTGTGTGCCAAAAGTCTCATTTCTCTCTTGGTCTGTCAACAACGACCAGAGCTCGGGAGAGGAAATCCCTACAAAAACAAATGGAAATCGCTGATAAAGGGAGGGAGATAGAGGGAGAGGGGTTTCTGTGACAAAGTACAACCCGTCGTGGTCGGAGGGGTCTTCTTGCTTCTCTTCTAAATTTTATTCAAAATCGAAGCAACAAACCTCATGATTCTGCTTGTTCTTTTTCTTCCCATTTGTGTACTTCCTTTTCTCTTTGAAGAGTTGAGTTGCAGAGCATCAGATTTGATGCCAAATTTCTCCAAGGAATTCTTTCCCTATGCTCCAAGGAATTCATTAGCACCACAATTGGGCATCAGTGCAGAAATATCAGCGGATGGGAATATTGATGTTAAGAGCAAGAACACTCTGGGACATTGAGAGCAAGAAAGGCTTTCAGTGAATGGGAATATTATATATGCAATAGGATTGGGCAGTTAAGGGCATTTCAGTCAAAAAAATATTTAACAAGCTGACTCACCATTCAAGGGCAGTTTAGTCATGAAACTTGCATTTAGTTTGGTGCGGACAACTTGGGTCAATGAACTTTAATGGTATTCTAACGGGTGGTGAGTTTTAGAAAATAAAATCTTGTTAACATAGTGAAATTTGGATGTTTTGAAAAGTTATGATTCGTTTAAGAGAATTCATAAAAAGTGATGGTGGATTTTAGACAATTTCCCTATTATTAATTTTTTTGAGGGAGAGAAAAAAGTCAGAATTTACTCCTCCCAAACGCACCTCACGCCGATCATAGTTGAGACACATTGTGAGGTTGGTATGAGGAATAGATCCCTGACTGGGGAAGGGATATTAGCATGTCGGAGTACTGTTATTTTTTATCGCATAGAAACACCTGAGCTTCTTGATTCAAGGGAGGTGAGATCAGAAAATACAACAGAACCCATGTTCATAAAGTGCCATGCATGGTCTTAATTCATTCTCCTATCATATAGAATGAATAGTGCTCCCATATACTAGAATTTGCATTTTGTTTGATTTGATAATAACTTTGCTTAATTATTTGGGAAACTCAGTTACGTTAATCTCCATTGGTGATTCAAGTTTCCACTTTTTGTATTTTTTCCTAATAACATTTAGATTTTTCATGTTGAAAAATAATTTTTATTTGCTCGTTCTTTGTTAATTTTTTTCAATTTTAATAAAAAAAAACACACAAATAAATAAGGTTTTATATTAAATTTGTTTAGACTTAACTATCCAGTAACTAAGTAGATTTAATAACTTGGATCCTTGACCACAGAACTGTAGTGGAAGCTAACAAATGCTTCAAGAGTGAGATGACCATAAGGCTGTGCTTGTTTACAATGCAAAAGCAAAAAATGATCATTGCATATCAAGAACACGACGGTTCAAGGGAATTAATGCAAATTGGGACAGGATTACTAGATCCATTTGCATTTATGTCTTTTGGTTATTAATGTCGTAAACATTGTGGAAAAGAAAGGGATTGGTATTCCAAAAAACACAAACAAAAAAATCGGTAGTTCTAGTGCTCTGGTTCATTGAATTGAGAAGGGATATATATAGAGAGAGAGAGGTGCCCCTTTTGCTGATGAAAGGTTGAAGATGGTGAGCATTGTCTCAATCAATGTTTTCGAACCGCGGTAGAGTGAGAGTGAGAGAGAGAAAGAGGTGCCCCCAGGTTGAAGATGGTGAACATTGTCTCAATCAATGTTTTCGAACCGCCGTAGAGAGAGAGAGACAGATGCCCCTTGCTGATGAGAGGTTGAAGATGCTAGCTGAACATTGTCTCAAACTCTCAATTGAATTACTATGGCTAGCTCAGATTCGGTCGATTGTCCTGAGATCTTCGATTTCTTGGTTGGAATGTCATTTTATAGATGACATTGATGGCAGTTTCCTCTCACAGAGAAGAAGAGACAAAGAAGAGAGTAAATGTTTACTTTGGATTAAACTTCATATGCCCAAAATTGATGAAGTGAAGTCTGGCATGTTAACATTTTCCCTCAGGCTCAGTTTGGAAGGAGTACAAATACTCAGGCTCAGTTTGGAAGGAGTATAAATACAAATATGTACAGTACAAATACATACAAAATATAAGGTTTTACACTCTACATATTTGCATTTGTACTCCTTTCAAACTCAGCTTCAGTAAGTAATCTATGTTTTTCCATGAAAAAAAATGCAGCTTTGACTTTACAAGGAATGTCGGCAATGGCTTTATAAATATGAGATGCCATTATGTTGCAAGTGTGGTTGGTGAAGATGCCAGCTGGTCTATCATTTTCTCTGTTTGTGTGAAAAGAGCCTTGAATCGAATTGCAACAGAAACTCATATATATATATATATATAACACTAATTATAAACAACCCATGCATCGACTACTGCCCTTAGTTCTGCCATATCGTTTGTGCATTTACTATAAAAACAACATGAGGCAAAGGCCAAGTTGAAAGCATTCCTTTTGGATGTAATATTTATCCCGATTTCCTTGAACCACAACTCAAAGTTGCAGAGAGATTGTTCTTGAGACTTGAGTGATTAACCTTAAGTCGTACGCCTCGCCTTTAGTTGTCATTGTCTCCATTTCATCACTGCTTTTGTCTTCATTGCTATGGAATAGATTTTCTCCTGCATATATGTAACTATATATATGGTATGTGTCCCTTCTCAAACTTCTCTAAGATTCACCAATTAATGCATGCTATGATTATCCAAGTGGGTTAAATTTTCTTGTCTATGACAAAGCTAGGAAGTGGATTTTTTTTAATCTCATCGGCAATAGTGGAACACATTTGTAATTGTTGAAAGATCCAAATAGCTAGCCATAGAGCCCTGGTTTATGGCACAAGCCACGAAGGGTTCATCTTTTGGTCAATGGGATTTTTGTTCCTACTGAACAACATATCCATATTCTTTTTTCAGATTTATGTGGGGTCTATAGAAAATTTATTTTTCTTAGGTATCGCTTATCCGAGTAAGTGGCACCCATCTCTCAGATGGACAACTAACTTTCCCACCTAGGAGGAAAGTTGTCAATACTTGGATGGGACAAAATTGTCCTTTTAAAAATGCATTTTTATGGCTAAAATGGTCATTATTTTATTTACCCGAGAAATAAAAAATACAGGTAAATGCACTTATGAAATGCTTATCCGGGTAAGTAATTTCCCGAAAAGTGAACGGGGGCCCAAGATTTAACAACTGAGTAAGCTCTGGTTCCCTATCCTTCTTAAATGCTGAAAAATAAGAAGAAACATAATTTTTTTTCCTTGAACCAATAACTGATTTCCCATGTGCTTTTTCCTTGTGAAGTTAAAAAATGTTTTCTTTACATGTGTCGTATGCTTGGTTTTAAGAGAATAACAGATATATAAGCTGTATGAACAAATTAATGCATAGACGAGTTAATTATTATGGAAGTAGCAAATATATCCAACATAAACTCTTTTGTCAATTGATGAACGAAATTTCAAGGTAAGTATTTTGAAAAAAAAAAAAGCATCTTCATAATAATTCTGATTTGCTATATATCATTTCTCCATGTAATTCCTTGTGGTCATTTTAATTTTTACAAATGGTTTATACTTGAAGCATTGCTTGATAGAGACAATATCCTTAGCTATGACCTAAGAAATTTGTTAATAGAACCTTCTTCATACGTTCCCATGCTTGTATGCTGGGTTATTCTCCCTTTGTTCATTTTTCTTTCATGGGAGGCCTCTTTCCTTGTCTTTATTGAGTATATACATCTTAATGTTCTTTACTGTAATGAATGAAAGGGACATATTATACCAACCATCAAGAACAACTCCTATTAGTTGATAAGATCAATAATACCATATTCATGAATATGACATAACTTTCCTATCGTAAAGGGCTAGATAATGATTTTTTGGTTAAGTTGAAGCTGAAAGAAGCTGCTGGGTGATGAAGATCTTTTAATTTGTTCATCATATTTGCTCAGTTCTAAAATAATCAAGATCAAGATATAAACTATTTCTAAATCAAGGTGATGGAATACCTGGCACTCTCACTCTCTCTCTCTCTCTCTCCCTCTCTCTTTCCCTCCAATTCGACAAGAAGAAACAAACAATAGAGAGAATTTAAGAGGAACGAGACGCTCAGGTGCACATGACAGTCCACAACCAAGAGAGAGGTGAAGTTCCCAAATAATTAAATTTCCAAGATAAGCTACCTCTACTTTTCCAAAGAATTGCCACTGTCGTCATATAACATTCATATTTGGAGAGAAGTTCTTTCATTGTTTTACTCAAATTGGTATTCTTGCATATATATAGCTGGTGATGCGACAGCTGACTTACTAACACAATGAAACTCAAAGCTACTCTTTTGAATATATGCAATAACAACAAGTTCACATTTGCGCCCCACAATGCCCCACAACACATCCCCACCTTAATTGTATCGGGAACATGTTCCAACAATAAGTATGGGAGATGACGAGACATCACCGAGAGATGCTCCCAATACAAGGTGAGGATGTGCTGTAGGGCATTGTGTGGCGCGCCCTTGTGGGGCGCAAATGTGAACTCATTACATCTGAGTACTGTAACGTAACTGTGGAAGGCCATGGCTTCTCTTCCTATCGTCTACCAATGTCATCGATCAATGATGCCCCTCAATTAGGGGTGAGCAAATGAGTATGTTCTACTCAGAACCGAATGGAACCGACCTCGAACCAGTCTTAAACCGACCCTACCCGATTTGTTACAAGATAGGGTCTATTTCCAAATTCTTGAAACTGACCACTATCTAGGTCAGTTCCAGTTTCTAGGGGTTTACCACTTTACTCTATTCAAACCAACCCAATGAACTGGCCTTGATTGGTCTGGCCTTGGAACCGAACTTTCCTTGAAATATACTCCAAAATATTTATAAGGATATGTTTGAGCCCAAGCACTCATGGTTACAACTTACAAAAGCCATGGTCTCACTTGACCATCCATTTGCTTAAGTGATTTGATCATTTGTTTTCATTTTATAATATTTGTATGTGTATAATAAATAATGTAAAAGGTAATATTTATAAAATTTAAATTATAATGACAAATTTTTGATCATATATTAATATATTATGATAATCTACATATTAAATAATCAATTTAATCAATAAAGATGATATAAGTTTTAAACTATATATTATCATTATTAAAAATCAAGTTTTTGAAAGAGATGTTTCTTTTTTTTTTCCTTGAAGAGGAGGATACAGGAAGAATAGGTTCCACGGGTAGACCCTGGATCCAACCCCGGAACTTCCAAGACCAGAACTGACCTTCACAGAATAAGTTTCAGTGCCAAAAACCTAAAATTAACCGACCCCTATAGGATAGATTCCAGGTTCTATGGTGAAACTGAACTGGACCAAACTAACCCATGCTCACTCCTACCCTCAATAATGAAATGCCTTTCCTAACTATGTTTGAAATAGAAATCCCATGGAATTAATGAAGCCTATCATAATCTAAATGTTCCATTTTTTACGAACTTGTCTTGAAGATATGACAGTTTTCAGGGTATTGATAACATCTGATGTTGCTGAACTAAATGAATTATTGTCTTGTCTTCTAGTGGATAAGTCATTAATTTAGTTGGTTCTCAGCTCCTTTTATGGATAAATGGTATGCTGAGTTAACCATTAAATCTATAAATTTTGATTATATTTATATGGCTCTGTTATATATTCATTAAAAGACAAAACAATAAGTCATTCAGTTCAGCCATTTAAGTCATTAAACAGGTTCCCTCAGACTTTTTGGAGAGCTCGTGGAATTGGTACATGGAATATTACTTTCCTTTCCTTTATTTTTCACCAACTTCTAAGCTCATTAATATTTCTACAACTTCTGTGTTGAATTAGATAATTTAGAGGGGTAGCAGGATTAATTTTAAAGGCCAATTTGCCTAAAATGTAAAATAAAGTGATAAAGATGTAAATTTAGTTCATTTGAGAGATTCGAATGGGACTAATTGAATCAATTGGTTGGTTTGGAATTAATTAGTGATAAAATAATTTCACATTTCCTTGGCATTTTGGCACATGAATTTAAATGAATTCATTATATGAATCCCAAGAGAACCATTTTTGTCTCCATTAGCATTCTTTTTCTTGCTAAGGAAAGATAATCATTTCATCACGTAGTTTCCAAACGTCCCACAAGGAGAATCTGAAATGAAGTGATAACATTCAGAAAATGCCTTTCAAGAATAAAGAAGAAAAAGCGTGTCATTATTGATGCATGTGACATGATTTCTTTACCAATTCTTATCTATTTAGACTATGTTTGATTTGATAGAAAATAAAAGAGAAACAGAATGTTAAGAAGGGAAAGTTCCTAACAAAATTTCTGAAATCCCTAACTTTCCTTCAACTTTTATCGTTCTCTCTTATTTTCTATTTAACCAAACACAATGCAAGTGAATAAAAAGGACTAGTGGCAAACAGTATGAAAATAAGTGTGGAAGCAGGTCTGGGTCTATATAAGAATAATAAAACTAGGTATCTCTCCTGTATACAAATCCCAAAATTGGTGGCAGAAGAGCCAAGGAGCCGTCCTACCTACTTCACTAGTTATCCAAGAATTGCCTGAAAGCCTTAATTCTACTATTCCAAGTGAGAGGTTACAGTGATGGATCTAACAATGCAGAATCTGGGTAAGAACAAAGTAATTGGATCAAGTAATCAAAGTTGAGACATTAAGAAAAAAAAAAAGAAAAACATTAAAGCATGTACTAAAACATAAACTTTTTGGAACCCTAGAACCAATGGGTAAGGAAGAGATACAAAAAGCTTGGAGAAATAAAATCTAAGACAAGATAAAAAAATTAAAAAAAGGGAGAAATTGAGAAATAGTCCTCCATTTTCTCGAGGATATATACCAGGAGTTTGATCGATATAGACTAACTGACTAAGGACTCTCTCACTCTGTCTCTCTCTCTCAATTATCTGCCTTTAGCTCAGCAACTTTAGCCTTTACTTTTTCTTTTTTTTTTATGTCTTGATTTATTATTTATTTTGAGGAAGAGATGGTAATTTGGATCGGTAAATATAATGGGTAAATAACATGGGCGTTCAGGTCATCAATGAAAGGGATTGTCTTTATATGGGAGAACGATGGGTTAGATGCGTTAGAAGTGATCAGCTTATTACAATACCGATCTCTCTCTCTCTCTCTCTCTCTCTCTCTGTGTATGTATGTGTCTTTCTCTCTCCATCCACTACACTCCAATTGCTTACTTCAAAACCACGGTGATATCTACTCGGTGCTATGGTTCTTGTCTCCTTCTTTCCCAAGATCCAGCCCCTTGTATTAAACCTCTCATTCAATAGTCCAATTCTCTCCATGTTAATCTCTCTGCTTTAAATGCAACTGTCGCCATGGCTGCAGAGCTTGGCCTACTGTCCATGATCCAACTCCAGAAACTGGCTCAGTCTCAACAACAACAACCTAACCCTAGCTTAGCCGCTGGCTCTTGGATGTGGAACGCAAAGCAAGCTCAAGACGATGATGATTCATGGGAGGTACGCGCTTTCGCTGAAGACACCGGTAACATCCTGGGCACTACATGGCCCCCTCGCTCCTACACTTGCACCTTCTGCAGACGAGAATTCCGATCCGCTCAGGCGCTCGGCGGTCACATGAACGTGCACCGTCGAGACCGTGCCAGACTCCGTCAATCGCCTCCTGCTTCTGCAGATCCCTCCTCATCTTCCAATTCCTCATCTACTTTCCTTATCCCCACTCCAGAATTTGCTCCCAATGGCGCCTACTGTCTTCTTTACCCTCTGCCAAGCCCTACCAACTCTTTCACACCCACGTCACTGAATAGGTGCATGGACTCACCCCCTACTCTTCTTTCTCTGCCCAATTATTCCACAAACACCTTAGTCCCATCTTGCCCACCTTCCATTAATTTCCCAGCTTCTACAGATATCCAGGCTTCGTCATGTCACTCTGCTAATAAGCTGGAGCCTTCATTTTCTGTCGACGATAGCTACAATTATAACTACAACAAGGAATTGCCGGTTGAGGAGCTCGATCTAGAACTCCGGCTGGGGCAAAGGCCGCCATCGCTGTAGCATGAGAGAAGAGAATTGTTGCGTTTTTTTTTGGTTTGTGCTTGCTCATCATCAGTATGTGTAAGATATATACACTCTACTTCCTAATTAGACAGTATGTAAAAAAAAAAAAAAAAAATCCTGAATCCTGGTTGATACTTCCATGAGTGTTTGATTGAAGATGTAGTAATGGCATAACAAGGGCGACAGGGAGGAAGGAGCAGAAGAAGAAGAAACCCTTTCCCGAGATTGTAAATTAACACAGAAAGGAAGGATTTTGATTTATGAAAGATCATTATGAACGAGGATTAGGGTTTGGTGATGGATGGGTACAGTCTGCAGTGCAGTGTCATTTTCCACCACGCATCAAGAGTCTGCAGGTGATCCATTTCCGTGGGGACTATATCTATGACACATAAGGTAGGCTATTTGCGCCTTTTGTTTGAAAGAACTACCAAATTGCCACTGCCTCCATTTTAATAATTAGCCATTAATTTTGGAAATAAATATTGTGCATTTCTTGGTATAGCTGATTAATGAGGTTCTGTATTTTGATTATTCGATTAAACAATGGTTCTTCTACCCTTGAAGAGGAGATGCAATAAGTTTCTGCAATTAAGCAGAAGGGAGAATTCCAATTTCAGGTGTTTAAGTTGGGAGAATTTGGGTAAAATCCTTCTTCTCTTTAAGCTGTAAACAAATCATTTTGAACTTTTCATCTTTATCTGTCTTTTTTGCTTTCTCCCCCCTTTGTTTATATCGATCCTTACAGGGAATGATGCTGCACTATCTGGTCAAATATAAATCTTTGTTGCTTCAATGCAATCATTCTGAAAACAATTTTCTTTTTTTGACTCTCTTAGCAGGTCTACAGATCAAATAGCCCATGATCATCCAATTAAGTTAAATTTATATACATATATACTTAATGTAAGGCCTATTTTGTAGAAAAGTGGAATATACATAGAATATTGTTAAAACAAAAAAACAAAAGAGCTAACTGACAATATAATTGTGATGACAGATTATCATGACAGCACTCATGATGATGTTATAACAATTTATATCCGATTGTCTGACATGCATTGCCCCAATTACTAGGGTTCTGGATCCCAGAACTTATCAATAATTGGTTTAGTTTCGCTTCATATACTATTCTCAATTAGGAATGAATCCAATTTGGATCCATTAAAGGGTCAAACAGACATATATAATACAAATTTTTTCAGTAATTACTAAGCAATTGTATGTTGAAATGTAGCTTATTTTAGAAACTTCTATAATAAAGCATATTTGTGATAAACTTGTCTTTCAAAACGGGCAAGAAATAAGATGTATAGAATATATAAACACAAAGACATGTAGATAGACAGATGCTTAATTTATGGTTTCCAAAAGAATTTTGGTCTAGGCCAGAGATATTTAGGTTTTACTAATTTGAACATAGTTTAATTCTTTTTTTTTTTTTTTTTTTGATTTTTGAATGAGTAATATTTCAATTGCAGCTTCAATTCTTAGGCTTGAATAGGGATTAATTAACCCAGCTGGGCCTTTTTTTTTTCGGTAGAAAACCCAGATGGATTTAGATGACCCTTCTTGAGCTGCAAATTTAGATAAAAAAAAATGAAAAAAGAATTCAGTGGCCTTTTCATTCTGTTTAATAGTCTGACAGGGTATGGAAATCAGCAACAAGTGTTATAATGCAACTATATTTCTGATCCTTACCGTCTTATAAAAATCCTTTACATATGGTGTTTGATATCCTATTATAGGATAGTAATGATCAGATGTACAACAATAATAGAATCCATGGTTATTTTTCCCCAAATTATACCTAAAATTACATATCTCTATCTAAATATCCATATACGAAGTTGAAGTTGACTCTTTAAACTCTAATAACTAAAAATCACAATGGAAATTGACTTTATTGCATATTATTTGTTATAGAACATATAAAAGATTTGTTAGTAAATTTATTATGCATGCATTATTTTATATCATTTAGAAATTCCATTTGTAGGTATACATGTATTATACTAATTTTTAAAAATATTAGCTTGTGTTTGGTTTAAAGGAAAAGGTAGGGTATAGGTTTCCCTAACTTTTCCTACCTCTTCCTTCATTCCAAACACAGTCTAGGTTTGCTTTGCACACGCATCTTCATTTATTAAGGAAAAAAATTGCCTCTTTTTGTTTTCCAATAACATTGATATCAATTTCAATGTAGGAAAAAAAATCAAAGAAAAGCTAAAAATAGAAGAGGGGGAAAAAGAGAAAACATTAACTTAGGCTGTGCTTGATTTGAAAGAAAAGGTAGGGAATTTTTTTTTCTTTCAAACCAAACACAGTCTTAAGTTTTATCCTATTCAAAAACAATAAATGTTGCAAACTGTGAGAATGAATAATCTAAAGGCAGCAACAAACTAACTTGATTGAGGAGGAAAAGTAAAATTACTTTTGGTTCTCTTTTGTACTCTCTTTAATAATGATGAAAAAGTATTGTAGAAATGATGGTCCTTCAACTTCTTTTATTTTTACAATGTCGCATTTCCAAGAAAATAAACTATAGTGTGGCAAACGACCACAATGATACTTCTCAAGGAACTTATTTATATATACATTTTAATTACTTAAGTGTCTTATATATATAATAAAATGCAGTATTGTTATAAAGTTATTAGTAGCTAGATATCTTTTTGGTAGTAAAAGAATAAAAATTATTAGAAGAGAAAAAAAGAGAGATACAAAAAGAATTGGTTTCTCAAGATTTTACTAGAACATGGGAGTTATTTATTTATACAATATTAATTTTAAGTTGGCCTATTATATTTGATCTTAAAATATCTTCAAACAGGTACTTGTATTAACTACATCCAATTATGATTTATTAAGTAGACCACAATAAACATTAAGGCTCCATTTGGAAGGAGTATAAATACAAATATGTAGAGCGCAAAACCTTATATTTTGTAGTATTTTGTATGGATTTGTACTGTACATATTTGTATTTGTACTCCTTTCAAATTAACCCTAAAGCTCAATTTGGAAAGAGTACAAATGCAAATACATACAAAAATAATACAAAACACTTTGCACTCTACATATTTGCATTTGTACTCCTTCCAAACTGAGCCTAAGCAATATAAAGTAGATCTGCAATTGGGGTCCTAGGGGCTATGTGAAAACTGCTGGACTAGGGAGTTGATAGATAGACAACTAGTCTCTAGCTTTATTGCACTCAGTAAGAACTGATTGGTGTGATTTTTTTTGCTCATTATCTTAAATGGTAAGATTGAATTTATTCTACTCAAGTAATATCCTAGTGATATTTCATTCTTTCCATTTATATGCATCAAATTTCGATCTTCAAATTAATATAGTTCAAAATAAGTAGCTTGAAATTCTTCTCCATCTTATTACTAAGTAGGTTAGCCTATTTGAACAATTGCCTGTCCCAAGATGGTAAGCGTTACAACATTTTAGTTTTAGGGGACTTTTCAAAACTGAACTTTAGCCTCTTGGCTAAACTAATATGCTGTGAAAGTGAATATGGTAGAAGGATGAATTTAGGGTTCAAGGTACATACTTTCTTGCAGAAGCAATTGATTGCATACTATTAGGACGGGATCGATCCCTTGTGAGCAAAAACTCTACATACACCCTGAAATGAAATCATGGGAATTCAACCGCATATTAGGAATATCTTTCCATGAATTTAACATGCATGCATGGGAGATGTTCCCGATGTAGGACTGGATGCTATGTGAGAAGAGCTTTTGTTTAGAAGAGATCCGGACTCTACTATATATTAGTATAGGTACCCACTGGTACTGATGACAACCAATAGTAGTTGTAGTACTAGTAACAGTAGCATTAATGGAGTGATAGTAGTATAACAAGAGGAAGAAGAAGTCAGCAATAGTGGTAATAAAAATTAATTGGAAAAGAAAGAGAGGGTGCTGTCTTATTCTATAGGACCAAAATCTTAATAGTAATTGTCGGCCCTATGGGATTCTCTAAGGATGCAGATGCACATGGATAGCTCTACTAACCCTTCAGCGCTGCACCCACCTGATCGAACAGGAAAATGGAGATCCTTTGGTAAACATAACAATAAACCAACCCCAAAGTCTCCAAGAAAGCAAACCCAAACCCTTACCACCCAACACAGTTGTTTTCACGGTTTGGCCTCTTATGTCTGATGGCAACCACTCAGTTAGGTTTCTTCAACTCATTCTATCACCAAGCTGCCACACAATAAATAACCTCGTTTTCTCTATTTAGTTTTTGTAGAAAGAATTTTCAACTTTTATCTAAGGATGATTGGGGAAAGCATGCCTCATGACCAAGCTTCATATATGGGCCCTAGAAAGTAGAATCCTTACCCTTCATTTTGGGTGATCTATGCCATCAAAATTTGAGGTGGTGCAATTAAGTCTATCATTCAAATCTGACTGCAACACAAGAAGTATATAGTCCATGCTTCTATATATGTTTAGTTTTGCTGAAAGACAAAGTGATACAAGTTAAAAGCTTCAAGAGAGAAATGGAAGCTCAAGTTCAAGACGCGTGAGAAAGACATTTTCCCCTGTTCATATTTTGGTCTGTTTTTTGACCTTGTGCTTTCCTGCTGGGAAATGTTGAGATGTCCCTTCGGAGTAGTTAGTACATGAGTGCAAGAGGTCTATTAAGTCATGAGATAATAAACCCCACCACCACAAGCCTCACCTTCACGTGGGCCCCGCTGAAATCCCACTGTGTGGAGACAGAGATCCAGCTAAGGGAAAAGAAAAGAAAACACAGTAGCCTGGATGATTTTTATGTGCACCAGACATAACAGAGTGATTGGTCCCCTCTCTCCTCTCTGCAAGAAAGATGCATATCATCTCTTATAACCATGAATTCAGTGTGGATGAATGGCAAATAAAGACGTGTTCAAAGTTCAAACAAAACCCTAATAAGAGACCAAGCACCCACACACACACCAAAGCCGAGACCCTTGGCTTTTGCCTGACAAGGTGAGTAATAGATCGACCAAGATTCTGAAGTCACAGGCAGACAGACTGAGAGAGAGAGAGAAAGAGAGAGAGAGAGAGAGAGAAGCAGGCAATATATGATATTAAGTGGGGGGGTGGGGTCGTTAAAAGTTATGCGTGTGGCAGCTGGTTTTGAGGTTTAGTCCTCTTCGGTGCATGGGCTCGTATTCTGAGACACCAATCAGTAATGATTGCCTCCTCTCATCTAGTCCTCATCCCTGCGTTAGAGGGGAGCTATCAACTCTAATATCCAGCTCTTCCATTAAACAAACAAACAATGAGCTGTGTCTGTTACTGATCTACTGTATTTGAATTGAATCCTCCCACGACCACGAGCCAACTTGTTCATGATTGTACTTCAATTCATCAGCGCTAGCTATTAGAATTCAGAAATAACTTTGGGTCCTTTTCCCGTCCAAAACGGTGAAAAACCTGGTGATCATTCTTCACCTTCCAGCGTGCGTGCAGTAATAAGGCATGGATCGGACCGGGCCAAAGTTCAACTGCAAGTCTGTAACTCAGCCAAAAGCTAAAAGCTTAAAGCTTGGCCGAATTAATTCTTTTCCTGGTTCAACTGCTTATCAAGCCAAACGCCAAAGCCTGCTGGGCTAGCCCGAACTTCAAGGTTCAAGTCCGCCCATTCATGTATTGGAGGGAAACAAAAGGATGAATAAAGTCATCAGGTGTACTTTTAAAACTGAAG